AAGTTTATACATTTATAACAGAAATATTCTTGAAATAAGTAAAAAATTTCAAATAAATATTTTTATTTGATTCAAAATAACCATTTTTTTGTGTGTACCGGAAATTTCGCCCCAAAAATAATCATTATGTGAATTAACCTCTTTGCCCTGTTTCCAAATGCTTCTCAAGCTCCTCTTTAATCGCCATATCTGTCCTCACACGATGAACTTCAACGTTTCATCAATTTTCTTTGATGCTTAACAACTGTTCCCTAACGCAGAGCCAAGGCACTAAGGTACTCCCGGTGGTTTTCCAACTTTGAAACTGGGCGGAGCCTACTTCTTTCCCCCCCCCAGCCACAATCCCTCGGCTACTGGCGCCGTCAACCGAGCAACCACCCCTTCTTCCGCCTGTCGACGGTCCCTGCCCTCCGCGTTCCTTCACTCACAAGCGCCCCGACCTTCACGATTTCTCAATTTTTTACCTCAAGAATTTTAAATCTCGACTTTGATAATTGAAAACAAAATTTTGTGACCATTTTATCACGGGATCTAGTGTTATTCAATCGGAGAAGAAGTTGGCATGCTGTGTAATTGAATTAATAGTTTGGACGAGATTAATTAATGTCTTTATCACCCACCAGTGTCACTGGAGTAATATTAATGAGTGCTATTACGGAGGTGTCTTTATCATGATTTGAAATAAATAAATCATTTGTCATGTTGGATTTTTTTTCAATTCACTATTTTCATTTTTGTGTTCTTCTCAATTTCGATCTTTGACATTATTTTAACATTAAAAAAATAATCACTAAAAATATCAATATTAATACCGATATCAATAATAATATATCAGCAAGAAAAAAATCAAATTCATCAGTACGAATATCAACAAAAAATCAATAGAAATAATTAGTGTAAAGAATCTTCCAAAGAATCCTCAGAATTTATGTCTTTGATATTCTTTTTGGCATAAAAAAACTAATCAACAAAAATATTAATATCAATATCGCTATTAAAAAAACATCAGTAAGAAAAAATCAAATTCATTAATATAAATATAAACATAACTCAATAGAAATAATTTGCGAAAACCAATTATTCTTTCCCTGGACATTTTTCTCATAAAAAAATCCTTCAATTCTTTGAATTTCTGTTTTAATTTTTAATAGAGTTGGGCTTTTATTGCAAATGAATTTGAACTATAAAAATCACGGAAATGAGTGAAATGAGTCCTTACCAATGTTATGGGCCTGGGTGAGAGCAAGAGGAGCACAGGAGCGAGGACCCCCTAGGGTTGTCTCCCTAATCCGGGGGTTGTTGTTGGCGCCAACCCCAGGGGTACCTCCCCCAGTACTGGCTCCGTACCCCTCCACCTCCCCAGCCACGGCACCGGCCGCCCCTGCCCCCACTCTATCAAGGTTCAGTGGGCCCACAATTTGTCCCTCAATGGGCCCAAATCTCTCGAAAAGTCCCGAGGGCCCCAGTGCACCCACTTTTGCTGATATTCCCCACACGCTGGCCAACAACACTCACTGGAGCTCTGTTCAGAGCTCCAATCGCCGGATTAATCCAGATATACCAGAACGATCACACTCACAGCACAAAACACATCAACAAATGATTGACATTAACAATATCAAGGAGATATTCCCGAAATTTCGCTTACGATACTAGAAATTCAGCTAATCTAGTAGATAACGATCAAATTTTAAACTCCAATATTTCTTTCATCTGCTCAAGGGTCATGAGGGTCAACCACTGTTCACCACGAAATATCAAATCCACTGAAATCACTCGAGTCTGAGCCGTGCGATGCGACGGATCGTCTACAGCATCTCATCACTGTCTCCACAAATAATGAAGGCTCATAAATTTTCATCGGCTCAAACTCACTCAAAACCCGGAATCCTCGAAATTTAATTTCTAAAAAATTCCGCCGGCGAATCTCGTGCCCGTAGATGCGACCGACTGAATTCGAAAAAAAGTGTATACGAGTTTCGACGAATCCCGGAGCGCGCTCGCCTCGAGGTTCGCCAGCCGACTGGCCGCACCTGCGGCCTCAAACCCCCCCGCAAGCCGCGACGATACTCCAACGAAAGAGCGGATCTGAGGCCCCGCCCACTCGCACTCACGCACCCCTGAAATCTCGTTTCTCATTGGTTATCGTGGGCATCGAGGGGGCGTGGTTCATCCCCCGACGCACACCGGGACATGGCTGCGGAATGGCTGCGCACGGTGAGCATCGTGGATCCTCTGATTGTTGGCTCGAGTAAGTGGGGGGAGGAGGGGACTACTGAGCGCGACAGTAGCGGCTGCCGATGGTGCCGCCTCGTGACTGGACGGCTATCGATCCCCGGGTTCTGTCTGCCTCACTCTTTCGAAAAGGGCTTCAGACGTTTGTCTCGCTTGTTTTTTTTTTAGTTTAAAACATCAAGTGTATAAACGGCTACTGAGAAAACGCCACAGGTTACTCCGATACTGCAGTGAGATTCTCGCGTGTCTTACATCAACCGGATGGTTCTACTTTCCGGAAAAGGAGAGGGGTGATGACGAGATTTATGGACGAGTTGAAAGGGTGGTGAATAAGTCAAAAATTTTTAAGTTTGCATTTTTATTTTTATTTTTATTTGTTGTTGCAGGGAGAAATTATTCAATGGATTTTGCTTTCCGTTGTACAGAGATTTTTATTTATTATGATGTGGATTTTGGCACAAACATTTTGGCTTCGGGACGTGATTAACTAAAGGAGGAGGGTTGGGTTGTAATTCGGTGGTGGAGGCGTTAAATCGAGAACGAGGAGAAAAGTTTCTCCATGATTATTCCCACCGTTTCCATTCATCTTCAAAAAACTCGCAGGTCCTCACAGAAATTTTAATCAAAAAACGGAGAAAGGAATTAAAGAATACACTGAGAAAAAAAAATTCTAATATCTGAAACATATTTTCTTGAGGGAAGTAAATTATTTTCAATTGCTTAAATCTCAGAATGTGTACACTTCACGGAACTCGAATAAATTTTCATTCATCACTATCGTTCCGCGTTACGTCATGAATATTTTACATATTGCAATATTGGAAGTGCATAACGAAAAAATCATGAAAACATAAAAACTAGAAGATTGACGATTCTTCTACGTGATTTAAGTAAGTTCATTTGCAACAAAATTATACTTGAGTACAAGAATATTTTAAAGCATTAGGTCTTTCTCGGGTCATGTGAGTTGAGATGCTTGAGAGAATTGAGCAATTGAAGAAAATTTACTTGTCTCAAGAAAATGTGCTTCAGATATTGAAAATTTTTTTTCTCAGTGTAGAGAGAAACAATTCTTTCATTAGTTATTCCTCGTCATGTGCAACTTTTTAATAACAGTTATGAAGGACTCGGACGAGTGTCTGTTCACTGTCAGATTTTTTACTTTAATTATATTCTTTGGTTGGGTTATTTCTGTTACAACCCTTAAATAACTAATGGGCTGAAAAGTAGTGCAGAATAAATGAGTGCGCTGATGAAGAATACTTTGTGTGTTCGAAACGGTAGTAATTAGTGGAAGAATTGTTTCGCTCTATTCTTTCCTCTCTTCGGTTTTTGATTAAAATTGCTGTGATGACCGCTAAGGGGGACCCAGCTGAAATTCGTAAGTCTTCGGTTGATGGAAATAACTATTGAGAAAATAGCTACCGAGAAAACTCTGAAAAATTTCGTACCCAATCCATTTTACCCCGTACGTCAGGCTAAAACGTCACTGTTCATGTTTTTGGCTTTGCAAAGCACCACCATTTTCATTCGATTTAAACTTTTTTTTCCATCAAAGATTCCATAGATTAAAACTAGGAATTTTTTTCAATTTTCTCAATTTGACCATAAAAAAATGTTATTTTTTGGTTTACTCGTTTTTTACTTTTTTCATACGGTGTAAAAATTATTATTCTGAGTTGTTGAACATTGAAATAATACAAAACAGGTGTTCAGAATAATTATTTTTATACGGTATAAAAAAAAAAAACAAAATTAGTAAACCGGAAAAAATGAGCTTTTCTATTACCTAATTGAGATAATCCAAAAATAATACCTAATTTTATTCTATGGAATCGAAGGAACGTTAAAAAAAAGTTTAAATGCGATGAAAATTGTGATGCGAGTAGCATTTCAAAGCCAAAAACACGAACAGCGACGTTTTCGACTGACGTATGGGCTAAAGTGGGTTGGGTACGGTGAACTCATCCCAGACTACTCACCCCAAACCAATTCATCCCGGACAACTCAGCTCAAACAAATTCATCCCAAAACAAATCAATCCCACGACAATTTCATTCCAAACAAATTCCAATGGAATTTTTCACGGTCACAACAATAATTCAGGGAAGGAAAAATATTAACTCTATTTTCACAGAAAAAGGCACTAAACACATTAACAGCAAATATTGCAAAAAACGGTCAAATCATTCTTATCCATCTCAACTAACATTCGCCAAATAGGCTACAAGTAATAGACCACAGCATCGATTTACAAAATCAGTACTAAATTTGAAACTTAATCCGATAAGTCACGCGCTTCAGCCAAACAGTGGGGGAGGTTGGGGTAAAATGGACACGTTTGACTTTTTTAAAAATATTAATGATAGGTTGAAATGGTGGTGAAATTTAATTTTTTTTTTCAATGCAAAGAACAATTCTTGCCCTTTGTGATGAGCCCAAACTGAGCTCCATTGATAAATTTGTTTCTGAGTTATGAGTAATTAAAAAAAGTCTAAAGTGTCCATTTTACCCCACCCTCCCCTAATAAGAATAAAAATGGGATGAAATTGTTTGGGATAAATTGTCATGGGATGAATTAACCGGATACCATTTTTAGGCATCTCATGATATATCAATCCCAGCTGATCAATTAAAAACATATGATTGGCTGACTTCCCCCCCCCCCCT